GACCTAGAGAATGTGTAATTTTAGGTCGAAGTTTGGTGCACCAACGCGTCACTTCTCTAGTGTAAGTATCGGGCTTCTTTTTCGTTGCCTAGGTTACACCTTTAGAATACCCCATAAGGGAAATTTTCTACTCCCTCCAATCTTCACTTTATGACATGCCGACTCCCCTTTCGTCATAAGGCATGGAATTAGACCAAGGGGAGTCTCTATAGGAACTAGTCCCTTATATTTTGCACATAAGAGATCGAGACATAGCCCTAGGGCATGGGGAAAGATGTAGATCGATCGCCCTATATAGACAACTACATAGAGGGCCTCCACCAATCTATATATTCTTTATTTAATTACCACCGTAAGAGAAATATTACAACCTATAAGGTCTTAAAGTTTCACATCTAAGTAATACCCGATCCGATAGTTTACGATATAGATAGGTAGATATTTTTAAAGAACATTAAAAAAAATATTAATAGATATCGATAGTTGTCTAGTCGTACCCAAACAATAATATTTCGAAGGGAAATCCAGCTATGATAAAATATTTCAAGCCGACTTCCGTAGGAAATCTAGACTTTCTTTTTGAAGCTGCAATCACATAAAAACATAAACTTTGAGGCTCAATAGCTAAATACATGCCAATTGAATCATAAGTCGAGATCATAAAGAGCATACCGCAAGTAGGAAGTGGAATTATTACAATGGATTCAAAATCATCAAAAATCTCTTATTAGAAAGAATTGAAACACATCGAAATGGTACCAGCCGTACTTAATAATTGCAGAAATATCTAGAATTGTCTCTATTAAAAGTATTATTCCAGAATAAATGGGCAATAGTTAGTAGAGGTGCCCCAGCAGCGAGCAGAAGTAAGGTGATTAGATACCTCAAGAAAGCCCGGCACGAACCATACATGGAAGGTTCCCTGCATAAGGGTCATCCATGATACCTTCTTCAGATTCACATGAACTAGCGGACCGATCACTGAGTGGGAATGCTCTCTCCATCATAAGAGAACCCTTTCGGAACTCCGCAAAAATGGGAGCCACTATCCCAGCCGGGATCCATCTAGGTTCTATTGATCATTTTCCCTTCCCAATAGTTGTACCTTGTCTTGGGGCGTCTTTGGCTTTCTGATAGAAAGCTCGACAAAGAAATCCAGGTATAGTAGGTAAGCTCTATTTGGCCCGGAGCATTGATTTCCCATAACGAGTATGCTATCTCTATCTCCCAATTACCTATCATGTCGTTAAAAAGGTTCTTTAGTTTCTCGGCCGCACCTCAAGGTGCATTTAGTTGTGTTACGTGAGACGAGGGCTATTCCCCACTCCATTCATTTTGCTCGTCCAGACGCGGTTCCCTTTCTTATTATCATCTACTGCCCTTTATTTCTTCCCGGCTATTCACACATGAAGATCGTCGTATGTATTCTTGACTTCAGATGTTGGTTCTATAATAGGTAGAAGTACATTTTGGAAGAATCAGTCTCCCAGGAAAACAACCCTTCTCCAAGAAGAAGTATGCTATGCCCCCGATCCCTATATAGAGAAAGAGCTGACTAGTGATTCCTAGTTTGTAGCGCGTTCGGTCGTTAACTCCTCGCACCTATGACATCGTTTCTAGGATCGACCGACACTCACCTGCACAGGTACCTATGTAATTCTTTCTCGGTTGCACATTCAACATAGCGTTCAGACTCATGTGCCTTTTAGAGCCAGGGGTATTCGAGCCTGCTGCGTACGATTAGCCAGCCTTACGAAGCCAAAAGGATTAGATGTCCCCCCATGCTACGGTTCTCTGTGGTCCAAACCCGATGCTGCTTTAGGTTATGGAGCAAGACAATAGTAGCCCCTCCGTATCCCAAAGCTCTCTTCCCTCCTAGGCACGCAACACTAAGTAATCCAAGACAACCCACCTTACTGACTAACAGTGGATACTCACATTTGTTAGACGTACTAAATACAAATCCATAAATGAGAAAAATGAAGGTTGCATTAATGATAAAGATCTCTGGGGAAACAGCTAAGAATGATCGAACATGTGGGAGGATCCAAAAAAAATCTGCTTTCATTTCCCCTGTATAGAGCACTGAGTTACTTAAGTTACAGTCTTCAGTAGGCAGGCTGCACTCTAGGCGGCTAAGAAGGCTCGCTAGACTAGCAGCCAGACCAATAATGAATGTGTAATGATGGGGATTCCACATGAGGCTCAATAAATAATTGAATGTAGAAAGGGGATCCTAAACTAAAAAGGAGTCCATGACCCCTTTTAGAGCTTATAAGGGGAAGTTGAACTCCAAACCCTTTCTCTTGAGTATACCCTTAACAAAAACATATACATCATTTTGTGACATTTGCGCATAGCCGTCGTGCGTGGCTAAAAATTCAACCAAAAATAAGATCCCAAATTCATTTTTTAGTTCCATTGAGAAAGTCTTTTCTTATAAAAGACGCCAATCTACGAGGGAAGATGCAGATAAAAGACCAATATCCTGATGTTATCTTGTACGACATAAGCTTTAGATCTATCAATGAATAATAAACATTTCATAAGAAAAGAATAATTTTGAGTTTCAATCTCAAAGAAAGGTATAGGTTAAATTTCATAGTCTATTCAATATTTTTCTTCCAATTCTAAGGAAAAAAATCACAATTTTTTTTTCAATAAACGACGAACTCCATTATACATATGATAGGACAGGACTAGGACAGTATTCTTGATGAAGATTAAGATGATATTTTCAGACAAAAGAAGATAAAAAAAGAAAACTATAGTGGCTATGAAAGCTCCAGAGATTCTATGAGAAATTGAAAACATCGAAGTAAGTTGTGTCTTATAAATATGAAGATGAGGATATAGGGGGCGAAGTATATTCATGATATTCAGAAAGATTTATGTTAATTCGCTCTGCGAGCAGAGCAGTATACCGAAAAAAGAAGCGACTACCTTACTTAAGCAATTCTTCTTCTTATTCTTCTTTATTAGTTGAAGTTCCTATATTTGTTTTTATTTATTTTATGAATGTTATAAGTCCTAATTCTTTGGTAGCGGACCTCTTTGATAGTTCGACGGTTATTCCCCGTCTAATACAACTATTCGATTGTTCGACTATTATGATTGTGAGTCAAAAGGAATGTAATAGGAGTGAAGTGGAGATCACAAACGATCTTAAGTGAGTTTGAAAATTGACTTATTTATTAAAAGAAATATCCTTCACTGTGCTCACTTTTCCAAGACTTTAGCTCGTAGGTCAGTCTATTCGACTTTTTCTTGCAAATCCTCTCTTTTATGCTTTCTAAGGAATGTCACGCCTGTCTGTTTATGAATCCGCTGTTCATGAATTGAATGTGCGATGGAACCCCTTCCTTGATGAGGATTGCTAAAATCTTTCTTTTTTAATGAAAAAGATTGGGTTTGTAAGCTCCATGTGGTAAGTGGAGGTTCTGGAGACAGGATACCTAAGTCATGTAGCTCGTTAAGAGTAATTAGGAATTCATTCTTACAAATAAGATCTATCGACTACGGAATATAGAAGATAGGAAAGCAATCAGTACACAAATCCCTTCCTCTAGAAGGAGTGAACCCGACCACTTCACGCTGAAGTTCATACTCATACTGATCTACGAACCACCCTTTTCTTTGATTTGTCCTTCTTCACCTCTATTAAGCCTATAACCGATCATTTAGTTAGCCTCCTTAGGACTCTAAAAAATGTAACCTAGCCTGATACCTATTTACTCGCCTGGGCCACGCGTATCCATCATATATAATATGCCCGACTATCGAGGGAAATCCCCCTCTTAGATAAAGTCTTCGATCGCCTGAAGATTGCACAAAAAAACAAAAAGAGCAAAATCGATATAAGATAAGACAGGATGTAAATTATATCCCAATTTTGCCTTCTACCACTCCATGGAAGTAAGACTAGCAACTATTATAGGGCCCTCCTCCAATTAGGGAAACTACTAAGACTGGATCACAGTGATCGATAGGAAAGAAAACTAAAACTCAAACTACAGGAAAGAGAGAAAGAGGGGAGCTAGATGAGCTTACTACTCCAATTGTAACTGGATCGAAAAGAGAGTGGACTGAGCATCTTTCAAATTTTAAAGATCTATCAAAGCTTATTTGTAATGAAGACCCCTTTTCTACTTTCAAACTTTCCAATTGCATGTTAGTAAACTCCTACTCGCTTCAGGGCAGTCTAACCCACAGACTGCAAGAACCAGCTTGCTGGCAGAACGAAAGACTTGAAGCAGATAGCTGGAAACTGGAATTTCCACTAGATGTATCTTACTGGCTGCAAGGGATTACCTTGGCGGTCCTACTGTAGGAACCCCAACTTACAAGGGAACTGAAGTGGAAGACCTTAACACTTCCACTGCCCGAAAGCCTTATCATTGGAAGGTAACTGTACTATAAGCAATGAATATGAGCAATTCTCCATATTCTTCTCTTTGGCATAACTAGTATGAAGCATACTACAGCAAAGACCAGTCCACTAACAATGTTATACAGTAAGACAGTATAAGTCAATACTGGAAGGGCACACGAAATAGACAACTACTTACTAGGCTAGGGTAGTCGGTTTTTCATCTTTCCTTTATTTTACTTTACCCTAGTGGAAATTCATTTTTCAAAGTTACTAGGTAATTAGTGAAGAGATTTATAAAAGTGACTAGCTTGGTGGAAAGATATTATCTTCGGAGGAAAATCTAAGTATGCTCCAGTAGTCTTGATATTTGTTAGTTTGAGGTTTCATTAGTTTTATACTAACAAGAAAGCTTCGGTGACCGCTCTACCTAGCGCATTAGCCCCATACTATACAGAAGGCCTATGCGAAGAAAAGTCTTGCCCATCATCAAAGCAAGCCCAAATCCATGCAAGAAGTCCATCCAGATCTGTCCAAATTCAAAGCCCCATGCAAGACAATTGAAATCTAGCAAATGATATGAGACCATCCAAATGATATTCAGTGGGCTAAACGCAAGTAGCTTTGGCCCATGATCCAAGAGATCCAAAACTAGTTAATCGTGCTATCCTTACCTTATAACCAATAAGCCAATCAAGCTATCCTTACCTTTCGACAAACCCCCTCGATTATGTTTCTACAGCAGTATATAATCTCGGACCTGATGGACTCCTACTGAAAAATGGGTTTTCCAACTATGATTGTAAGAATCCGTGAAATAATGTTCTTTCTCCTTTTTGTCTTCTTTCTTGATGGAGCTATGTTTGGGAAAGCTTAGCTTTCTATTCTGTTGCAAAAGGGGGACGCTTTCTTCCCCCCTAAATGTCAGTTCCGCCATTAGGGCCTAACAAGAAGCATAATTCTATTCCAAACATTCATTTCAGTCCAACGATATTAGTCTATAGTTCGGAGCGCGTGTTCCATTCGACACAAATTGTCTCCATCCCTAGTATAGCGGAGGTCTTACTTGTATTGCAATAATGATAAAATGTACGAATAAAGTAATGAGAACACCAGCCCACTTTTAGATGTGGCTTCATTTAAGAATTTTTTTTGTTTTGAATAAAGAATCGCATGAACTTTTAGTGTAAGGCAGGTGTTATCTCGGTGGATAGATGGGATAAATGCATATATATTTTTATAATGTTATTTTTATGTTGATATATTAAAGAATGAAATCTATAAAAGTTTATGAGTCCCATTATTTAAAATCGTCTTTCTCATACTGTGTAAAAAAACTTCAAGTTTGAATTATGCACTTTACTCAACAGGAAGCGTCACAGCCACCCCCAATATTGATCTGCAGTATTAGTTTGTGAAAGTCGTTTGATTTTTAACCTAGAGAGATTGGCTTAGTTGTATCATGCAAATGTACAACACTTAGGTGCTTTCTAAAATCATACTATATGAAAAATGTATGCATGTGTGGTTAATGAATGACTATATCTTAAGTAAAAAAGGTAAGACCTAAACAGAGAAATGAGTTTAGCACAACAAGCTATAGAAACCTAATCCTAAAAATAGAAAACCCATCACTGAACAATCATAGGAATAGAAGAAATTGGGTTTAACTAAGCCCTTAACCCAAGATTAGGTGGAGCCTTAAACTGACACAAGAAGGACCTTGTAGGATAACGGACTTAGTCAACCCAACATAGGTTGTTAATCGAAAAGGAGAAGTCCCATGAAGCGGTTGAGGGGTATCAAGAAGATGCATTGGCTGATAAAATATCCATCACCCTTTCTCGGTTCGTCCCCATATAAATCTTCCTATTGGCTTCTCACCCCAGACTGAGACTCTCTCTTCTCGTCCGGAAGAATAGTTGTCTTCCTGGTTAAATAGTCATCGGTCTTTGGCACAAAAGAAAGTCGAGAAAGTTGAAACACAAGGTGATTGTCGCTCAAGCAACTTTGGAAGCAAACTCTGTGAAAAAGTCGTTTACATAAAATGAATGGGAAGGGCTCTTCCTCTCTATCTTGAACCTAGATCAGCTCAGCATGGATGAACAATGTGTGCATTGTGTGGAGTGAGATCACTACCATACCCTTTTTAATTTATCCACTGAACATATGCTTCGAGTATATACCAAGAGAGACTATGATTGAGTGCAGCAGACACCCGCTAATCCGTGCTTCCATTCGCGACCTGAAGCCAAGCCATTGACGTGCCTTGAAGGACCTTTCAAGCCTCCCCGCTTAGACTCGTTTGCTTTCCAATTCTCACTCTGAAAAAAAAGTCTAAGCGATCGAGACAATAAGGAATGTTGGAGCAATTTCCTTAGTTGAGTCCCTGCCTCTAGCTTGGGTTCTTAAGAAAATGGGCGGATTTATACTGTATTACTATATCATTCTGGACAAGACATTCGGAAGCGAGCCAACAGGTCGACTTACTTTCTAGAATAAGTATATGCTACTGTGATCAAATCTGCTTGTCGCATATCCGCTCAAGCAAGCTTGTCCCTAGTTGGCCAAGTATTTGCTTTGAATCGTATGTGAGGGATTGAATTACATTAGTATAGTAGGATAAATATATCTTCCCTAGGGAAAGAAATGATAGTAGCTTATTTCCTCGTCTCTCTATTGATTTAAAGTTTGAGGATTCGTAAGAAGTTGGGGTCGATTTCTTTCTTTGTTGTTGATATCCTACAAATATTATGTTATTATGTATTTCATCCCTTTTTTTGTAGATTGATTATGATAGTGCTTTTACAGGAATGAGTTGATAAAAGAAATGTTCATGATTCCCTATGTTTCGTTACTTCATTTTTCAATAAAATGAGTTGAACATAGTGAAACAAAATATTCCTTATTCCCTAATCCCTATTTATTTCTTTTGGTTTATCATAAGAGCATCGAATACATATCTCAAAAGCATCATGCTTTAAGGCACCACGTGTAGCAAATCCAAACATACCTAATGCCCCCTCGTCTGTCGCTGCAAACTCTCTCTCATGGTTCCGGCTCCCGAGGCAAATCAGGCTTGGACGAAAGAAAGGAGTAACTTATTCTTTCAAATATAAAATGATCTCGGGGATGGTCAAAGAGTTTCGGATTTCAATGTGACAACCAATTTGATATAATCAAGGAACTGAAAAAAGGAAGCGGGAGCTAAAAAGAAGATTTTTCTGCAACCGATTCCACATTTAATGGGATTAGGGAATACCAAAGTCATGTCCAAGATGGATGGGGTGGAGGGAAAAACCTAACAATAGTTCCAATCGAGAAGGGGGGAACACAGGAGTACTAAACGGGGATAAGGGATACCTCCGGTAAAGGAAGTAAGGGATGGCTCGCTTTTGGGAGGTAGACTTGGGCAGCAAGCTATGTGTTGTCTTACCCAGAAAGCAAAAGTTGCTCTAGTCAAAGGTGACAACGAGGGACCGAATTAAAACCTTTGTTTTCTACGCTTTCTGCTATCATGAAATGGAGTGTGTTGTTATAGTCTTACCATTTTTGAAACATTTCAAGTAGTAGCATCTCAAGCCAGCACAAAAAGTGTTTCCATCAGATCGGGGCTTTAGGCAAGCTAGCTAGTCAGTGAGCTAGATTTGGTAGGAGTAAATTGACTTGGAAGAGAAATTTTTCTAAGCTTGGAACTAGGTAATCTATGTGTCAAAGGGCTACTTTTCTTCCTATCCGTTCCCTTGCTTGAAGCTTATGAATCAATCCCATTCTACTAATGTGTACTTCTTTGGAACAACTTTCCCGATTTCATCATACTCTTTACTTTTCTTCCCCTTTTTGGTATTTGCTATCTTGTGGTCCGATCCCTTATTTTTATGCTTACCATATGACAGATTCCTCTTGCAACGTCTGTTGGGAGGTAGCATATAATAGATATATCTACTAGGCCTTTTGTCGTGGAAGCATATGGAAAAACAAAAGAGAAAACAACTAGATAAACTGCGGAATCACTCGCATTTGAAGCCTTCGCTCCTATTTCAATAATTGAGATAACTGTCTTGCCTTATTAGTTAGGACATCCAAGCTTCTAGTCTAATGACTGGATACGACCAACCCCGAATCTCTAAGCCCTTGTTTTTACAAGAATTGTCGTAGCTAACCGTACATGACTTCCCAGAGATTGGGATACTTCTATTTATAATTATAGAAAGAAGATCCTACTTTCCCATGAAGACTAAAAGAGAACAAAAACCATTCATCTTTGGAAGAACCCCAAGATGTTTTGTCCCGGAATATTGCTATCATATAAGGGATGAAAGTTGATCATTTCTTGTTCTTATCAGCTATGGCTAGTCATTTGAGTATTAAAGTAATGAATTGTCAATGATCAAAGGGTGTAGTTACCACAAATATAGAGTAGTTCATTGAGGCTCCACATACCTGAGCTAAAGAGATGATCTGGGTAAACCCCATTTTTTGTGAGGTAAGTCACCTCCCACATTCTTCTAAAGCAAAAATAAAAGAAATTGTGTACGTAATCTGGCCTCAAAGACAACTCATCTTAAGAGGACTACATTTAACAACAGGTAGAATGAAAAATGAATTCCTACAAGAGAAGGAAAATTTAAGACTTCGGGAAAACATATTAGAATAGACAAACAAACAAAGATAGAGATAGGTTGCATCGAGAAAGATGACTGGTGATTCTTCACTTATTTATTCACTTCATTCTCCATCTAAGTTCTTTACTGTTTCAACTGCAAATTCCGAAAAAGGATCCCTCCTTATACTGGTTGTCTTTCATTAGCTGCTGTTGTTCTCACTCTAATTATTATGATCGTTCGGACTCTCCATGATAGTTAGCTCGGTAGAGTGGCAGGTGAAACCTGTCTCTCTTTATAGATATTGATATTGATATTGAGTAGGTAGGCGGCTAGTCACTTGTTACTCGTGTAGTGAGAAAAATCTTATTTTATTCTCAGTTCAAGCACGATTTGAAGGTTTGTGATAGACGTTGACCTTTCCTGGATAAATGATCTCAAATTGGATTTTTTTTATTGTTGCAGATCTGTGAAAATAATCGATTCATTTGTCCCTGGTTCCGATTGGAAGTGTAATATGTAGTGGGATCGATATGTTTATTTGTACATATATAAGACATGATTTTTGCTTTGTCATTTAAGTCGGACCTAGAATGTATTAGTAAGGATCTTTCCCCTGCCTATTTGTTTGGAGGGTGCTTTTCTTTGCTCTGAGTCCTCTCTCATCCAAGCAACTGAAAAAAAGCAAGAATTAAACTACGATCTAAAAGAAGGCGTGCTCCTATTGAGAATACGAGACAACCTTCCACTTTTTTGGCGTACTTGTTTGATGAGCACTTTTAAGCCTAAGCGCCCCATATGTAAAAAGCTAGACAAAGCAAGGCTGAAGTAGCAATCTATGTAGTGGTTGTAGGTGCAGATTAAGATGAATTGGATAGAGGCACGTATGAGTAGCTGAATGCAAGATTGGCTATTTAGATAAGGTTTCGAAAAGCAGTTTTTCCACTTGTGTGAATCACAGTTCTTTTGCCTGTGTTAACTTTACAGTGGGTGGAGTGCCATCTAATGACATATAGTATTAAATAAATAGTATTAAATAATATTAGTATTTACTGTGTACTAATCCTAGTCCTATTAGGATTAGTAATCCTTAATCCTAGTCCTATTAGGATTAGTACTCCTTCCTATATCTCCTATATATATCTCCAATGTATTCCATTATTAGGTTAACACTTCAATACAGTCAATATTCCTTCATGGTATCAAGAGCCAGAAAACCTAGATCTTCTTTTCTCTAGGTTTTTCCACTCTCTTTAGGGCACCGATCGTTCCCTCTCTTCTCTTGGGCCGCGGCAGCCATGACAACCGAGGTGGATCCTCTTCTGGCGTTAAACTCCTTCTCAGGCATCTTCATGACCTGATTCCCAAAAAATTATCAGACATAAATTACCTACATGGAAAACCACCGTTCTTACAGCCCTTGAGGCCAATTACCTTCTCAAATACGTCGATGGAAGCATAGAACCGCCGCCGACA